GGCATGGGATTCCTTCCCCGGGTGGAATGAGGAAAAAAAAGTCAGCAGCTCTTCACTCGACGTTTATCCACAAACTGGTCCTGGATTAAGCTCCAAAGTTTTTATCAGTCAGATTCCACCGTGAAAAATGTCTGTTTTATCCCCTTTTATGAGTTTTTGGCCATTGACTATCTTTAAATCGCTGCTTCCTGGTACAACAGTCGGCTCTGGAAGCGATCACTTTTTTCTTTTTTTCCTTTCCTTTTTTTGAAGCGAGTGGTTGAAGCAAATGGAGCATAAGAGCCCCCTGGTGGCTGAAGAAAAAAATACATGTGTAAGCTGCACCGCGGTCTATAAGCCGCATGGTTCAAAGTTCAGGAAAAAAGTCACGGCTTATAGTCTGAAAAATACGGTATTTATTATATGCATCAGTTGTACTCGAGCTAACCAGCGATGTCATCCTAAATATTAGTTAATTTTAGATAATGTGACTTTTATGTTTAATAAAACGATCAGTTTAGAGAACAGAGGAATGTATGTTGTACTCTGAACACACATGGATACATCTGTGTTCTGCAGTGATGGAACCACAGACGTCACACGCACAATGCATTTTGGAACGCCATCTGTTTTTGAGAAGGTGAGTTCATAATCGCAGGTTTTATTGATTAGATCCATTTGAGTAACTTTTTGTGCTGCAGAGATTTGATGAAAAAATCATTACTGCTCATTAAACCTGAACATTTAATTTTATTTTGTCATTTTTGTGCTTTTCATGTAGGAATGCTTTACTTACGTCCTGAAGGGACACATCGCTGTCAGTGCTGCTGTTTTCCCCAACGGAACAAAAGGTGATAACTGCTTTCATAACCAGAAACTAGATATCACGATTAAGAAACCTTATTTTATTCTTCCTCGGGTCGTTAAAAAACATATAGCCTCAGAATAATGCAGGCATCCTTTTAAATAAGTTTATTATATTAGTAGTTAGAAACTTCAGTTGCAAATCTCACAGAACAATTTGTAGAAGTAAATAAAATAAGTAACACTCCAATAAACTTGATCTTTGATTATAGTATATTTCATAAAGCAAAATAATTTGTAACATTAAAAAAAGAGATCAAAACTCAGCAAACGCTATGTTTTAGGAAAATTGAGACATGGATGCTGAGATGAGCTGTCTGATAAAAAAGTTTTCTTCTTCCTTTTTTAATTAATAAATATGTTGAGTGTAAAACATAGATGTTCACATGTTCAGTCCTTTTGCTGAAACAATTTGTTTTCTTCCAGGTCACCTCTTGGACTCATTTGCCCGTGCAGCGCTGTGGGAAGCAGGACTAGACTACCTTCACGGTACGGGTCACGGTGTGGGCTGCTTCCTCAACGTCCACGAAGGGCCCTGCGGCATCAGCTACAAAACCTTCGCGGACGAACCCCTGGAGGCTGGCATGATTGTCAGTGACGGTATGACACAAAACCGGACGGGACTGCTCGGGTCGCTGAACTCAAAAAGGCTGCTGCAGCTGTCATTATTTATTTAAAGTTTTTCAAGACCACAAACTTAGTTACATTTATAATCATTTTGAAAGAAACGTGGGGAAACAAGAACATAGTTGCCTTACAGTATAGTGGGGAGAATTAAAACGGCAGGTTGGCATTTATATATATATATATATATATATA